ACGACCACCTCTCAAGCGATCCCGGGTCACCCGCGTAACGCAAAGGCACATAAATAAATGAATAAATAGTTTATTCCCACGATGGTAATTTAATGTGGGAGAGGCCAATTTATAGGCATCATCACACTGATATAGGTCGAAAAATCTATGAGATTTTACGGGTCCTAAATAGTACAGAAGGGGAGGTCGTTAAACCCTTTGAGAAACATCAGAAGATCGCTATTATGAGACAAGTATGTAGGTACCGCTTTTCAGCACATGCAGAGCGTCAAAGTGAAGATAATAAGAATTCCCATTCTCATATAGTGGATTTAACATGAGAAATACCAGTTTATAAGCATTGTCAAATTGATAATTCTTGAGAGCTTACAAAGCAGTATTTGGGATTGTATAATTCACATACCAAGTTATTGACGTCCACAACCTTGTTAAAACTTGCTGCAACTCATGAAACGAGGGTGGATTTTCATCTCCCATCACATAGATGGGTGCCACTACCAATAAGAAAAGCACGCAATATTCGGAGTTTGCGTTGTAACCAGACGACGTTGTTAGTCCCCTTGCACAGCCTGTTATTTAGTAATATAACTGTCGATTCATTAGAAAGTTCTTCAGTTTTCAGCCCTGCTAGCCACAAAGGACCAATTTATACTGCCAGGAGTATCAGTAAGTATCCACAGTTATATAGCAAGGTTGAGTGTTTAAATCAATGCGTTCGCTATGTTAGGTTCAAGGGTAATATATTCCACTGTGAATATTTACTGTAGTAGATTGAAATGGACACTGGAACAGTTAGTAGTCCAAATGGCAGTAGTTATATACAGACTTCGGACATCTTTCATATTAGCGTAAGCGGTATCATTCTAGAAGTGTATTTCATGCATGGCAACTTTTACTTGAAAAGATCACTTGGTACAGAGTACCAGAAAGCGTGTGATATAGCGCTAGTGCACGTAAGTCATGTTCCGTGCCAATAGGTTAATTGGTCTCTCTTTCGATCACTTGTTCAGAATATTTGTGCCACTACGACTGCTGGGATAGTTTAGACTGTTCGTCACCCCAAGAATTCCGACCAGTAGTTGAGTTGATTGTGAAGATGTTCCAGAAACCCCGAAAGATTGGGAGCAGTCCGGTAATCCTTAGGTCAAACAGCAGGTACTATTTCTACTAAGTAGATATGTTCAGATTGGAACTCAGCATCAAATGTTTATAACGAGCTGCTGCTGCTAATAGTAAAAGAAAGAAGCACGAGTAAATATGGAAAAGGAATCATTACGCAGTCCAACCTGGAGAAGAGAGAAGCTCCTATACTTTTAAACCCATTCAAACTTTATGTACACTTTCATGTATGCATGGGTGATTAACAACATAGTTTTCCCATCATAAGGTTCTTAAAATTTTCCCATATCTAGGGTGCATCGTAGTTGCTTTGAAGGGTAACCAGTGTACTTAAAGTCCATTATAGTGGGGAGGGGAACCAGTACTCACACTCCTGCAAGCAGTCATAAACCCATCAGTGTAAGAGGAACTCGAGGGCTATAATAACTATGTTTCATACATTTGGAGGTCCACGTACGTCCCCGTTAGACCAGGATACTTGGATGGTAGCTAATTAGGCGACAGATTCATCGTTTATTGGTACCCCGTTAAGTGAAGGGCAGAAAAGTGTTAGCGAACCTGCTGTAAGGGTTTCCTCTGGAAGCTCATTCCAAATGTGCGAGAATTTATTGAGAAGTGAATTATCTCGCAGGCTTGTCGTACAACACTCAGTGTCAACCAATACTCACGGTTGAGCGTATCGTACGTAGACGTTATAATTAGCTTGATTTGCGGACCATGAGAGCGCAAGTGCTGATGAAATAACTTATAATAAAATATGAGGTTCAGCTTAAGTCTCCTCTTCCAGAGTGGTTCTAACCCAAGCACGTCACATCTGGACGTGTAGTCCTAATTCGAGTCAGTTTCTAATGTTCCGAAGGTGAAGTAGCGTTGTACCTCTTCGACTTTCAGTTTATTGCTTCTACGAAGGCCACTGAGAACAAACGGGCAATATTCAAAAAGTGGGCGAGTGCACAATTTATAGGGTAGAACCTAAGATTCAGTGATGAAGAAGTTACGAATGATACATCCCAAGAGTTTGCGTGACTTCAGTCTGATAATAATAATAATAACATGCCGTTTATTCCGAGAACGTCAGGTCTCTGGAATGTTTGATGCCAACATCTAGCACAGAAGATAGTCTAGGTGGCTGTTCTCTGCATACCTCGAGGGTTAGGTCATGGTTGCTTGTGGTGAGCTAACCATACTTGTCATTACTAAATCCAAGGTTGGACTCAGCACACCATGATGCAAGTTTACTTGGTTCCTGTTGGGCAGTATCGAGAGTATTGCGTAGTTCATGAGGGTGACAAGTGTACACGACCTGCAAGTTATCGGCGTATAGGAATGTTTTGCCTTCACTGGAGCAGTTACACCCGCTGCCGATATAAACCATGAACAACAAAGGTCCAAGGACACTACCCTGTATAACCCCGGTAGTTGTGTGTTGAGGTTCAGATTGCAAGGAGTTTGCTTTCACCATTTGAGTACGATCACCAAGAAATGGTTTCATCCAACCAAGTTCGGGGTGGCAAATACTAATTGATTGTAGCATGTCAAGGAGTATAATGCGAGAGAAAAAGAGGTCGAAGTATAGGTGGAGCACATAGTACAGAGAATATGTTCATCTTGGATACAAGAAGTCGCTCAACCTACGTAATTTAAGCGTCCGTAGTGGTGAGTACAAACAACAGAATAACCCTGTCAAACACCGAAGTTATGGCTCAACAAAACTATACCGATCTACATCACAACGCAAACCGAAGAATGTAGGCCAAAACCCCATCGCAGGACCAAGCTCAGAAGCCTTGAATTACAGTGAGATAGCGGATTTCTTGAACAGCTGATTTGATGAACAGCTCAACACAGTACTTCATCCACCTTCAAAGTCCAGTAATGCAACAAAGTTCCATACCCTCATGCAATCTGTTCACGCACTCGCTGGAGGAAATTCAAATCCCTAAAGAATGGAGGCGTGCTACCCTTTAACCAATGTTCAGGCGAGGAAACCGATGGACCTCTGCAACTCCAAACCTACAGCGTTAACTCTCAAACTATCCGGGGCAATGGAAAGCCTGGTTGTCGGTTTTGTCTAGGACAACCTAAACAGAAACAACATCGTCCGCCACACCCAGCATGGCTTCAGAAACGGTTGGGCATGTGCCACAAACCTGATGACCGCTTGGGATGACTAGGCTAGTGGGTGGAACAACAGGTAACCAGTCCACTTTATCTTTCCGGTCAAGGTCAAAGCTCCCGATACCGTTCCACACTGCACAACATTCACCAAACTTGCTGAAGTGGGTACCAGTGAATCACGCGTTGGATGATTTACAGTCAATCTAGAGGGTAGAGAAATATGTGTCATAGCAAGCAGAATTCCATCAGCCCGGAGGAATGCAAGGACGGGGATTTCTCAAGGAGTGAGCCATTTTGAGTCCCTGTCAGCTGCAAATGGCTTGAGCTTAGACTGAGAAGACTGAAAAGTGTTATATCTTTCCGCATCGGAAGCGTTGAAAACCAGCATTGTCCCCGATGTGCCTGCAATCACCAGGGTTTCCACGGAAGAGGTCTAAAGACTAAACTTTGTTGACACGCCGAATACTGGTACCAGATGCGAGGGACTAGCTGGAAGAGGGAACGCCATCATGCACTTTCTTCGAAGTTAGCTAGGAGCGCTACTACATGAATTATTATTCGTAGTAATGATGCTGAATGATGATTAAAAGTGAAATGAAAATTCAGACGTAGCTCGGTTGATAGAGCACCGGGCTGGAAGTTCGGTGGTCGCTGGTTCGAATCCGGCCACGGTCCAGACTTTCATTTCATCTTCAGCCATCACGCAGCATCAGTACTGGTTTGTCCAACCATGGCTGCCTCGGTTATTCAAAATAATACTCAAAGTGCATGAAACTTGTGTTAGACCACACCAAGAAGCGTTCCACTCGATATCCCTCCTTTACAAAGAGGAGACATGGGTACTCTCGAAAAATTGCAGGGGTGGGTCACACGATCGGTCGTTAAGCTAACAGGCACATGCAAAATGTCTCAGACAACTCAGGTTGTTAACCTTAGACTATCGAAGAAAAAGAGGCGACCTAATAGCAGCTTACCAGGTCATCGATCAAATGGACCACGCCGACGAGGTAGCATTGTCGGCCCGAAACCAGCAGCCAGGCTAGGACCCGCCCACATACCCGCAAGTGGCAAGTACGAGAGTGAGGTTAACATTCTTCTTACCCGGAGTGTGTGCTTCATGGAATCCTCTGCCGAAAGAAGTAGCCACAGCTGCATCGCTTGACTCCTTCAAAGGAATAGTGGATAAGTACATGAGGGCAAGCAGCTCACCACCAACACATGCCAGTAGCAGCTGAAGGTTCCCTCACCTATTCCTGCGTTGCCTAACCCCAGTGTCCACAATACAAACCATCCCTTCTTTATGTTATTACTAGAAACGCTTCTTTTCCATAAATACTTTCCACTCCTCTTTTCTCACCGCCCAACCGTACTACGTTTTAGATAACGCTCAGTAATCACTTTGAGGCTCTTAGGAAAACAGGAATTTTGAAAGGCTAACTGATCTTATCAGCAGCTGCTTTGCTCCACCAAAACAAACCGATGTATAATTCGAGAAAGAAGAGCTTCGAAAAAAATGATACCTGCCACAAATGCTGTGAGCAAGTAAACTGTAAAGATATAAGCGACCACTAAAAGAGTACAAATGAACACAGAGAACCTGGCTTCAAACTCTAGAAGCGACAGCACAAAAACCGTAAGTTTCCTGCAACGGCATACTGGTGTTGAATATTTAACGGCATTTCAGACAATGACCTTCGAGTGCTCAGTTGTCTTTGAAAGTCGAGAGACCTGTGCAGACCTCTTTATTTCAGTCACCTTTGAAAATGTCTCAGATGCATGCAGTTGCTGATGATTTTGATGCCTCAGAACTAAAATTCTCAAAAGGTATACTTTTCCGTCGCATCACATTTGCTAGAGTTTGAGAATGCTGACACTCTCATGCTTGCAGAAGTAAAGATTTTGTTGGAACATAGGTTTGTTTTTTTTTATTTAAATAATTATGTTGTTGATAGTTGGTTTTTCTATAAGTAATTGTCTTCTTTGTCACCGAGACTTTTGAGTTACTGTGGTGTTTGACACTGCTACTAGTTAATAGTTATAAGGGTGCCTAGTCAACATTTTTCTGTGACCAAATGGGGCAAAGTTGCGCTCAAAGTTGGTCCATAAATTGGATATAAAACAAGATTTTATACACGCGGGGCCAATGGGACTGGATGTAGGATCGCTTCAGAGAATGTAGGGTCACAAACTGTGCTAATTGTTAAATGTTTGGGCCAGAGATGGAGCCAAAAGTGCTTAACATGGAGTCAAATGTAGGATATGGAGACGTCGAACCAAACACAAAGAAAATCCTGTTAAATTCCGAAACAGACCTGACGTTTCGTATTGTGTTACCCAACATTGCCCTATTTGGCCCAACGAAATTGTTAACCGGGATAGTAAGGCTTGTAGTATATCTACCTATGAGTGGAACTATTTGATTCTCAAAAGCGCTCACCGAAGGATCTACCACGAGCTCTTGTAACCTATTCCATTCGTTAAATACTGAGAGGATTTGAATTCTACTCGTAGTTTATTCGACCGTGGCCTTTAAACTTTTCGTGATGACATCAGTCCTAAACAGAGTGGAAAAACCAAGACAAACACTTTTCCTTACCGCGAATACGATACACTAATGTAAGATCTCTCTTTTTCTTACAACGTGATAATAAGATAAGATTCAGAATTCTCGACCACTTTTCATTGGGGAGGTGCGAAGGCCCTCTCACTAACTTACTGCTCACCCACTGTACCAGTTCTTCTGTGTCTGCTTTTTGCTTGGAGCGCGAACTAGCTGTCTGTGCTCAGTATTTGGGAAGAGGTTTTATTTAAGTGGGATGCAGTTCCCTTGATATTTCTCCATCAAAGCACTTAAGGCCCTATGGAGTGAGCATAGAATATAGAATGCCCTGGTTGCAGCCGTGTTACATTGTGGCGTTGTCTTTAGTTACGGATGATGAAAACTCAGATCATTTTGTTACCTAACCCAATTAAATTTTGTTCCATCTAATAAGCAAGAGTAGTACGGCTCTTGACCAATGTATATTACTACACTTTTGTTAAAATTGATCTCTGAACTCCAGCCTTTAGACTTTTCAGTCCATTCATTCAAGTCGATCTGGGGTGCTAGCCTATCGTTATTATCATGAGAAATCTTTCACATCTTAGTGTCATCTGCGAATAGCAAGAATGAGATGTTAGGCATGATTAGTAATCGATTACTGTTGGGCAGGAGCAAAAGATGCCCTAATGTATTGTCGTAGGAGCTTCATTAGTAATCCGTTTGCAGTCAGATCACACCTCATTTTCCTTGACCCTTTGCCTCCTATCACGCAGGTGGTCCCCAAACCACTTGGATGTTGACGTTGACACCAAAACCTACGAGCCACGTCTTCATTCTAACGTAGAACACTGTCAAATACCGTGCGGAAACCAAAGAACATCACATGATCAGGTGGTATATATTCTTTTGCTTCCATTCATTTCTCCCTGGCTAAAAGCAAGTTATCTAGGCAGGAGTATCCGGTTCGGCTGTACACATTCACTGCTTCCCGTTAAAAACTCTACCTTTGAAAACAAGCAAGCTTATAAACTTTACTTAGTTAGTAAAATGTGTGTTTCAACTTGAATCTGCTATGACCTTGAAAATATGTACAGCGCTACTCTATCTCCTAATTCCACTAACTGGCCAGTGAATAAGTATTTAAGAGAAAATCACTTTTGATTAGGAAGTTTTAGGCTTTTTATTCTGCTTAGTACGGCTGCAATAAGACGTTTTGTGTACGTGCTAGGAAGTATCTAGGTTTTGAAATCCTGTTTGACTTTAAAGATATCAGAGTATACATATATACCATAGTGGTCGATATTGGAAACTCGTGAGTTTGTATTGTTGATTCTTATCGTCTCGAGGACCCCAGCCAGCTAGTCTTCATGGTTCAAATCAACACTGAAAAACTTAACGTATTTGGGCTACATTTTGATCTAATCACCTCTTACTTTCCTCCAACTTGGTCCTAATTTAGCTCAAATTGCAGGTCGAGGTAGGCAGTGATTTGTCATATGCAACACAATGTTCAATCTACTTCAGACGTTGGTTTCATAACTTGATCGACTAACTTGCCTTCCTCGCCTAGCACCCTCTAGCTAACCGCGCTATCGCTCAAAAGGTGATTTCAACACACACGAGCAAACGTAAGAAGGCACATGTGGTCAAAAACCTGTAATCTGTCGATATCTGGTATCTGTAATGGCCACTTTTCACAGCCGTATAAGAGGATAGTGGGTTGTAGTGCAGTATACCTTCCTTTGAAATATAGTCGGATATCTTTCCACCACCAGCAATAACGTGGGTTAGCAAGTGCCGAATGGGCATGGTAGCATGACCATATCATCATTCACTCCATTCACAGATGTTTCAAGCGTTTTATGAGTGCGAAATTGAAGTATTTTAGTATAGTACTTTTAATGTGTGGAAAAATTTTCTATCTAATGGTCCTCAGGACATTCCATTTGCATAAGGCGTATACAAAATATCTTAAAATGAAGCTCATTGTCTGATTAAATCAAAAATGACTATGAATTTAGTGAGAGTTTTGTGGAGAGATGGTCTTCATTTTACTTATAATGTTGAAAAATAACTGCGGCTTGAATTTCAATACATTAGTATGCTTCGTTAAAAACTTTTAAGTGAACTTCATCCATTTTTAATCATGATTCACTTATGTAAAAGTATACAAATTATTTTTTTAACGTATTATTTATTGTTCTTAAACTGTTCGGAATAGTAAATATAGTTTATTCTTAAAATAGAAAAGAACAAAATGAAAATGCAACAGTCCATGAACTTGAATTATCTCCTGTATTTACTAAAACTTTGAATTATGTGACACAATTCTCAAAATTTAATAATCGGGAAACAATTGAAAGTGTTAGAAAGTAAGTTGATTAGTAACACTATATATATTACAATTCAGTCTTTTATCTCAGAGACGATTTCATAATTTTGAATTGGCTGCTTTAGCTAATTTACTACCGGATACAGCAGAAGAAAGTAAAGCACTTATTCCAAGTCTAGATAGTCCACGATTTACTGAAGAAGAATTACAACAGTTATTAGATGAAATACAATCGAAACGAAGTTTTCAATCCTAATTTCACTTGGTTGACACTTTTATGTATATATGGATGTTTCTTTTTCAAATACATGCATTTCAGTGTAATTGTTTTTATATGATACCGTCGTTAATTGGACCGAATTCATCGGTCTCTATTGGCAAATGGGCTCCTGTGTGGATCCCTCGATATTGCCAGTGTTCTAATTATGTTAATGATGGATAATGGCTAGCAGTGGAATCCAAGATGCGCATTTCGTCCTATTTGGGACCCACTGGTCACCTGGATGTACCTGCTTCCCAGTGTCGAGTGATATTGTTCCCACCGGGATTCGGACTCGGGAGCGATCGCTTCAAACGCCAGCACGTTACCCACTACACCAACGAGCCACGATAGCCACTTCTTGTGCGACGGGTGTGGTTTTTAGTATAACTTTTTATATGATACCGTCGCTGATTGGACCGAATTGATCGGTCTCTATTGGCAAATGGGCTCCTGTGCGGATGCCTCGATATTGCTAGTGTTCTAATTATGTATATAAAAGCATTTATACTGAAAACCATACCCGTCTCACAAGAAGTGGCTATCGTGGCTCAGTGGTGTAGTGGGTAACGTGCTGGTGTTTGGAGCGATCGCTCCCGAGTCCGAATCCCGATGGGGACAACATTACTCGGCACTGGGAAGCAGGTACATCCAGGTGACCAATGAGTCCCAAATAGGACGAAATGCGCATCTTGGATTCCACTGCTAACCGCTATCCATCATTAACATTTATTTTAAGTGATTTTATTTTCTTGCTCAAAACGTGTTGTAAAATATTCGTTAGTTATTGTATTTCCTGTAACTTTGTTTGGTAATTAAAGACTAGAGTTCATAACGGGAATTATATAATGGATGAAAGGAATGATAAAGACTGTTTTGATTTTCTAGACAAACTGGGATTATATGGAAATCTTACCTATATAATAATGGTCTTAGTTATATTAATGTCGTCCCGACGATAGCTGCTACCTTGACGTGGTGGTCGGGCTTGCATATCACAATGACCCAACGAGCTATGCTGGTGGAACGCTTGTTCCCTCGAGGTCCTACCATACCAGAAAGGTCTGTTGGGTAGTGGTTAGACGAAAAGCAGTTACCGTCATAGTGTAAATTGCTACACTATGATGGGGGTCTGAGGGCGAAGTCGTACTGCTGCTAGCTGGATGGGGTGTGACAGCAGTAAGGTGTTTCCCTTGGATGACCAGCAGTGCCAAGCTGATGCTGCCTTCTCAGTGGAAGGGGGGGTTAGAAAAGGTCGGCCCCAAAAATAACACACTCCACCACGCCCCACGGTCTGCCGGGCCGGCGGTGTTGGTTCACTTGTCGTTTCCTTTCGCTCATCCGGCCCCAAAAATACAAAAATTCAAAATAATCATACTCAAAAGGCTGGGTGTGACAGGCCTCAAGCAGATGTCCGATGGGCTCTGCGGTCACACAAATCTCTTTCAGGTACCTTAAGAAGAAATAGCCTTCCACGGTGTGGGCAGCCGGGAAGTGTCAACCGCCCTCACAACTCTGTCAGCACCCAAGTTTCTTCTGACTGCTATCCTCCTCCTCCATCATTACCTTCTAATCTTCCTTCACGTCTCTTAATTAATGATGCTGCATCATCTTCAATTTCTCCTACCTCTGCAGCCTTCGACAACGATCTGAGTCCACAGAACAGCGTCCCTGGTCTCCTTAAACCACGCTCCAAATTACATATTGGAGCCTTCAATGTCCGCACCCTCCGTCAAATTGGCCAACAGGCTTCGTTGGCAAAGACTCTAGCAACTCGGGGCATGGATGTGTGCTGTGTTTGTGAGACACGCATACAGGACCCAAGTGTGGTTATTCACCTGACCTCTCCTGACCAATCTGGTGAATCTGCAAAATTCACCCTTCGAGTTTCTGGAGATTCGATAGCTAGCTCTCGTGGTCTTGCAGGTGTAGGTATAGCATTAAGCACCAGGGCAGAAAACTCACTACTAGACTGGATCCCAGTTGATAGTCGCCTCTGCGCTATGAGGCTGAACGGCACAGTGAGAACTAAAAGGAATAGTGAGACTCGCCGTTGTCTCTTTGTAATCTCTGCTTACGCACCCACTGACTGTAGTTCGGATGAAGTGAAGGACGAGTTCTACCATAAACTGTCTAACCTCCTCTCGAAAGCCAAACGTTCGGACGTAGTGGTTGTTGCAGGTGACCTCAACGCACAGGTGGGTAGACTGAGTGAGGCAGAAAGGCACTTAGGTGGCACTTTCGGAATCCCAGCTGAACGTACAGATAACGGTGATCGCCTATTACAACTATGCTCAGATAACCGCCTATTTTTAGCCAGCACAAATTTCAGACATAAAGAAAGGCACTGTCTGACCTGGCGTCCACCGAGCTCGACTCAGCGATGGACACAGATAGACCACATTGCTATTAGTCATCGCTGGAGAGGATCGGTGGAAGACTGCCGCTCCTTCTGGAGTACGTGTTTGGACAGCGATCATGCGTTGGTCCGAGCACGTATATGCCTGCGTCTCAATGGACGTAGAAAAAATTTGGCAACAAAACCACTACGAGTTCTGCTGGACAACGAAAACACCAAAGCCGTGTTCAGTGAGAAGTTGGCTAGGCAGTTATCGGAACAAAAGACTGTCACTCATCCAGAAGAAGCTTGGTGCCATCTTCAGTCTACTGTAAAAGCAGCACTGGAGACTGTAGCCGACTCCAAGATAATGGCTAAAAAGAGCCAGTGGATATCAGCAGCTTCTTCCAAACTAATGGATGCACGTGAATGCATCCCTGCAGGCTCTGAGTACAATGAAGAGCGAGCGCAACTTAAAAATAAACTGACGAAAAGTCTGCGCAACGATCGTGAACAGTGGTGGGCAGCAAAGGCTAAAGAGATGGAAAAGGCAGCGGCGATCGGTAACAGTAGACAGTTATTTAGACTTATTAAGGAGACTGGGGGGAAATGGTCAACAACAGTTAGTGAGGTTATAGCGGAGAAGGACGGATCGGCGATTCACTCGCAGGGAAGGCGACTGGGACGATGGGCAGAACACTTTGAGGAACAGTTTAACTGGCCTCCAGCCACCATTGCGCTGCCCGCTATCCAGTCGGACCCTGAATGGGACATAGAGACAGGTCCCCCAACACTAGAAGAAGTTGAGAAAGCGGTAGGTAGCCTGAAACGGGGAAGGGCAGCAGGACCAGACGGACTACCTGCTGAGGTATACAAGAATGGTGGTAGAGTTCTCTTAGTCAGGCTAACGGAAGTGTTAGCCAGTATATGGGAATCAAATACGATCCCCTCCGACTGGTCTAAGTCACTCATCATCCCAGTCTTCAAGAAAGGCGAGAAGTCCTCTTGTGATAACCACAGAGGAATCAGCCTGACAAACATAGTGTCTAAGATCCTAAGTTCTATAATTCTCCGACGCCTGAGTGGAGCTCGGGAACAGCAAGCCCGAGAAAACCAGGCAGGCTTTAGACCTGGCCGTGGATGTATCGACCAAATATTCACACTGCGCCAGGTCCTGGAACATAGGCATGCTTACAGACGCCCGACAATAGCTGTATTTCTCGACCTGAAGGCGGCATTTGACTCCGTTGATCGAGAAGTCTTATGGCAGTGTCTGTCACTGAAAGGCGTGCCTAGTAAGTACATCACCTTATTGAAAGCTCTCTACTCGAACACTTGTGGGCATGTTAGAGCCTATGGTGAGTTGTCCAGGGAGCTATACTCATCAAGTGGTGTCCGTCAAGGATGCCCACTATCCCCATTCTTATTTAATTTTATCATAGATATTCTTATGGAGGTTTCCCTCTCGTCACCTAATTACAAAGACGTTGACCGGATCACAGGTGAATTTTCCTTAGATCTAGAATATGCAGATGACATAGTCCTGTTAGGTGAAGACGCTGACAAGATGCAGAGTCTTCTGAACACTTTGAGTGGGAATTTGAGAATGTTTGGGATGCGATTTTCACCACCCAAATGCAAATTTTTGCTCCAGGACTGGTCTTCAGCGGTACCGCGGTTAACAATAGAGAGTGAAGTGGTTGAGTGTGTTGACCACTTCACTTACCTGGGAAGTAGGATCAACCCGGTGGGTTAGTTGCCGATGAGATTTCTGCACGGATACAAAAGGCTCGATTGGCTTTTGCCAATTTGCGCCACCTATGGCGCCGCCGTGATATTCGTTTGTCTATTAAGGGTCGCGTGTACTGCACAGCAGTCCGCTCTGTTCTACTGTATGGCTGTGAAACATGGCCATTGAAAGTGGAAGACATGAGAAGGTTACAGGTATTTGACCACCGTTGCCTTCGTAGTATAGGACGTATTCCGTGGTGTCACCATGTGAGTAATGCAGAAGTTAGGTGTAGAGTTTTAGGGAGAAGAGGTAAGTCAGTCGACGAGGTTGTGAACCTTCATCGACTGAGATGGTTGGGACACGTACTACGTATGCCTAGTCACCGATTGCCTCGTCACACAATGTTGGCTGAGGTGGGTTCAGGCTGGAAAAAGGCCCGAGGTGGCCAGACTAAAACATGGCACCAATGTATGAAGTCTCTGACTGTTGGTTTAAGCCATGTAGGACGATGCAGACTAGGTGGTTGGGGTCCACGGGACAAGAGGAACCAGTGGTTGGAGACCCTAGGTGATATGGCTCAGAACCGAAGTCAGTGGCGCAGATGTATACACACATTATCCTCATCTTAACAACGCTATACCGAATCTCACTATTTTGTCACTCCTCTTTCCTTTCTTCTCATACTTTATATTTCTTTTGACTGCATTCACTTATCTTCATCCTTCACCTCACTACCTTTTTACTTGATGTGCTGATATGAGGTGTGGCAACTCGGACCGTTACGCAGTAATGCCTGGTCCTATGTTGATAATGATGATGATGATGATATTAATGTCGTTAGTTGAAGGCGTACATAATAGATAATAATATAAAGGGGTTATGAAAGGAATGAAAAGATGGTTGATCCTATTGAAAATATACAACGGA